CTGCAGGCTAGATTTTACCCTAGACACCAGGATTAGGCCTGCTTGCCTGAATTGGGTCTGGGCACTGGGATCAGGCCATAGGACCCCACATTGACCCCACCTGCCCCCATGCACCGGGACTGGGACCTGGGTCCCCGAGCCACCTCTACCTGGCCCCACGTACCAGAAAGCAGATCATGCATGTCCAGTCTAGTGTGTAGGACCACAGCCCATGTTGCTCCCCATCTTGCAGGCCAGAAGACACTGTCAGGGGCTGGACCTGAACTGCAGGCCAGGGGTTAAGCACCCCTGGTCCAAACTATCTCAACCAAGTGTTTTTCTATCCTGCCCTTAGAAACTACCAATGTCTGTAGGTAATCTGTTCCAAAGCTTAACCAATTCATAATGAGAAAGTTCTTCCTAATACTTGACCTAATTTTCCCTTGCTGCAATTTAAGCCTATTATTTCTTGTCCTGTCCCTTGCAGCCACAGACAATAGACGTTTCCTAGCCCTTTCATCATTTTTGCTGCTCTCTGCTGAACTCTTTCTAATTTATCCATGTCTTTCTTGAAATACGGTGCTCAAACTGGACTCAGGACTCCAGGTGAGATTTTACCAGTGCCCCAGAGAGTGAAAGAGTCACTTCTGTTGGTTTGCAAGAAATGTTCCTATTAATACAGCCCAGTACGATACAGGTTCTTTTTGCAAAAACCACACACTGTTGGCTCAGGTTACAGTCCACTATAACCCCCGGGTCCAAGCCAGTCATTTTACAGTCTGTATTTGTGGATATGTTTATACCATCTTAAGTACAGGACTTTGTGCTTGTCTTTACTGAATTTGATTCCATTGATTTTTGGATCATATCTTCAGTTTATCCAGGTCATTCTGAATCCTTGTCCTATCCTCTAAATTGTGTGCAGCTCCACCCAGCTTAGTGTCACCTTCAAATTTGCTAACTGTGAGATGAATCCCCCTCTCCAAATCATAACTGATTCTTTCTAATTTGTCTATGTCTTTCGTGAATTATGTTCCCTAAAACTAACCTTTTAAAGTAAGAGAAGTGCTAGTTCATTGCCCTCAATTCACTAGGTCTGGGTCTTTGTGAGTAAAATAGGAACATCTGAATTGCTCAGATCTGTGTGGATTCCCATGACATTCTCATTAACAAGCTAAGGAAATATAGACTAAAGTACTGTAAGGTGGATACATAACTAGTTGGATCATTGTACTCAAAAAGTAGTTATTAGTAGCTCAATGTCTAGTTGGGAGGAAATATCAAGTGAGATTCCCCAGGGTTTGTCCTGTGTCTGGTATTGTTTACTACTTTCAGTAATGATTTGGACTGTGGAATTGAGTGCATATTTAGCAATTTGTGGATGACATCAATCTGGGTGGAGTTGCAGACACTTTGGAAGACAGGGCTGGGACCCAGAATGACCTGGGTAAACTGGAAAAATGGTTCACAATCAAGCAAATGAAATTCAACAGGGATAAGTGCAAAATCCTGCACTTGGGACAGAATAACTGCATGTAGAAATACAGACTGACTAAGCTGCAGTACTGCAGAAAAAGACCTGTGGGTTAGAATAGACCATAAGCTGAATATGAACCAATGGTGCTGAATATAAACCAACAGTAATATGATCTATTCTGCACTTGTGAGGCCTCACCTGAAGTACTGTGTCCAGTTTTGGACCCCATACTTCAAGAAAGATGTGGACAGTTCGGAAAGAGTCCAATGCTGAGCAACGAAAATTATTAGAAACATGGGAAGCATGACTTATAAGAAAAAGTTGAAGGAGCCAGGGTTATTTAGTCAGAAGAGAAGACTGAGGAGGGATTCAATAATAGTCTTGAAATACCTGCAGGACAACTACAGAGGGGATGCAGATGGGCTTTTCTTTATGGCTGTAGGGGCAGGAGTAGGAACAATGGCCTCAAACAGCAGCAGAGGCAATTTAGGATGGAAATTAGGAGGAAATTTCTGACTGTGAGGGTGGCCAAGCATTGGAACAGGCTCCTAGAGACTTTGTGGAATCTTCAGCCCTAGAAATTTTCAAGAGCAGGTTGGACACACACTTGGTTGGGATGATTTAGTCCTGGTTGGGATGGGATAATCCTGCCTTGGGCAGGGGGCCTGTGAGGGCCCTTCCAGCCCTACTTGCTTATTCTATAGCTGCTAAACAAGCTGAAGACTTCTATAAGTAGAAAACAAGATAGCATGCTGTTCACTATTAAGGTTGAATTGGTGTTGAACTGGGTATTTGTCATAATCAGGGATCCTGGTTTTCTCTGATAAAAAAATCCCCAATTTTCAAATTCAAAAGTAACTCAAAATCCCCATTTTTCTGTGATTAAAATGAAATACCATAATATATATATCTATATATTAGTGGCGGTTCATTTTAATCATAGAAAAATGTGGATTTGGGGTTACTTTCTTTTATCCAAAAATTGGGGATAATTTTTTATCAGAGAAAACTAGGATCCTTGGTCATAATGGCTCCCACCACATAAATCCATGTATGTTTCACCATCTTTAGAATATTTTTCCTCCAAATAGCCCAGTAAAGTAGGGAAGCAGTGTTAACTATGTTATAGGCAGGGAACTGAGGCACAGAGAAGTAAAGTGACATGCCCAAGTTGATTAAGAAAGTCTATGTCAAAACAAGGAATGGAAGCTAGGACTGCCCAGTCTAAGTCAGTACTTATGCTAATGAAACCATCTTCCTTTGGGTCCCTCTGAATTTGGTGGGACAGAACCAGGGTCTCATAGAGTAGGGCTATGAATAATTTGTGCAAAAATTCAATATTTTTAAATTGGTCTTCTTTCAAGGTAGTTTGGAACCCATTTTTTTTCTTTAAAATACTGTATTTCCCATTTTTTCCATATTTTTTGTTGAAAACCTCCGAAACATCAGCAAAATTTTGCACACGGAGGACCAAATTGCAGTAAATAAAAAGCTTTGATTACCGTTTAGAAAACACTCATAATTAAAGTCTCAAACATATGGAATTTCATGAAAAACTTGAAAAAGTTAAAAAGATATTCTTAAAAAAAAAAATTGGGGAAAACTGAGCTTTTCAACGTATATTTTTTATTTGATAAAATGTTCTCTTTTACTAGAATGCAACTTCCTTGGGAAATTCCTGGTTTGGGTTATTAAAAATGACACTCTGGACTTTTCACCTGTGAGCTACTGCACAGTCAACGTCTTGTGTAGACATGGCCAGTGAGACTCAAAGCCCACAGTGCCGGCACTGGGCAGCATTCCAAAGTGAGGCAGGGAGGAAGGTTCAGTTCACTTCCTGGAAGACTGGTATCTGCATCCCCAAATCACCACCATCTAGTGCAGACTCATGCTGCTGTTACAGTCCCAGCAGAGACGCCAAGTGCTCATCTGTGAGTTAATTTATAAATATTTTTGCAGAAAGAAGAACCAGGAGGAATTTTAAATTTACATTTCTTTATACCCCCAACTCAGAATCTGAAAGCATAAGTTTGTATAAAAACATCATCAGATCCTGATGATATGATTTACAAGGGCAAAAATGCCCATAAAGCCAGAAACCTCCACTGAATACCAGGCAATCTTGCTTTTTAAAATTATTTTGACTTTTACATTTTCAAATTACCCAAGGAGCTTTAAGATGATGTCAATGCAGGATATCATCACTGCAGTGCACTCAAGCTCTAGGGTCTCAGATGGTGGTGGGATTAATCTTAGATGGAGTATTTTGGGGGACTCAGCATGAGGTACCTAGGGCACAAGGTGCACAAAGATACAACACAAAGTCTAAAGAGTCTGGAAAACACAGTTCCAAACATTTGTTATTCATGCTGGCAGAGGACAGCATGCAGGGTCCAGGACAGAAGGCAGTGTATCCTGAAAGAAAGGAGACTACTTAACATAGGGTCCAGAGGGTCTGGAGGGTAACATAGGGTTGAGAGGGTCCAGAGGAGGGCCACTCGCATGGTCAAGGGGCAGCGGGGCAGGCCCTACGAGGAGAGGCTAAAGGGCCTGAATCTATTCAGCCTCCACAAGAGAAGGCTGAGAGGGGATCTGGTGGCCATTTACAAACTCACCAGGGGGACCAGCAGGAATTGGGGGAGGTTCTGTTCCCCCGGGCACCACTGTTCCCCTGGGCACCACCTGGGCTTACTAGGAATAATGGCCACAGATTGTTAGAGAGCAGGTTCAGGCTGGACATCAGGAGACATTACTTTACAGTTAGGGCTGGCAGGCTCTGGAATGGGCTCCCAAGGGAGGTGATGCTCTCTCCTACCTTGGGGGTCTTCAAGAAGAAGCTGGACAGATATTTGGCTGGGGTGTTATGACCCTGCACTCCTTCCTGCCTGGGGCAGGGGGTTGGACCCGATGATCTGTTTAGGTCCCTTCTGACCCTAAGCACTATGAAACTATAGAGCATATATATCTTCAGTCAGAAATGCAAAAGATGGGGACACCTAGGAAAGGAAGGTGGGGAAGAGCAGTCTTGGCACAAAACCCTCTGCCAGTCTGGGGTACCAGAGCGTACAGGCTGACTCCAAAATGTACTCCATCTATGAAGGAATAGATTTCTACTAGAGGAATCCATTTCTACATGAAGGACCAGAGTGGAAACAAAACATAAACTGCCCGCAACATTTTTTAAAAAGAAAGACAGTCAGATTATCCTATAAACCTTCATCTACCTCCCTTTGTTCATGCTCCAGGGAGAGAGGCCTGTCAGCAGCAGTGGAGAATAGAGCTACTTGAACTGTGCAAAAATAAACACAAGGTGGGGAAGATCTGGAGGAAACTCAAACATACGTATAGAGATGGAAAGTCCTGCTAATGCTCTAGTCACCTGATGGAAGCAAATCCAGGAAGAGCACACACCAACTGCTGAAACTTCCTTAGCCTGACAAAGGGTTTTTGAACCCGAAAGCTTGCTTAATAAATATTCTCCAACTATTTGGGTTGGTCTAATAAAAGATATCAAATTCACCCAAGGAACCTTGCCTGCCCTTACCGTGAGACGTTTCGAGGCATCCACTTCAATCATCCCCCGCAAGAGGTTCTGACAGTCCGGGGGGATAAAATGTGGCATGTGGAACACTCCGCGCTTCACCTTTTCCAAGAGCTGCCGCAAATTGTCATCGTCAAATGGCAGGGCACCCTGCAGGGACACAATAGTGGGAACGGTAAGGGGGAGAGGAAGGAAAGGAAAATAGGAGAAGGGCAAAAGAGAAAAATTGAGCCAAATGTCAAGAAAGAGAGGAAGAAAGAAAGATGTATTACTTCACACCGTACTATAACAAGCGAAGCATATTTTTCCTCACCAAAAGAAGATAATTTCTTAGTGTTGCTTAATTTTCTCCAACATGGAAAACAAAGCATGAGACACAGCTTTTTCTATTAAATTTTTTATTAGCAAATAAGTAACCAAATAAAAGATAATACAAAATGGGATATTGCCTTCTTAGGCAAATTTACCAAAGATACAGTGATCCACTTAAATTCAGCTCAATGTTTGGTAACAGTCTCAAGCCTTTGATCTCTCAGCAGTCCTCTTGGGCATACTCTGACTACAGCAATGTTTATCAGCTCCTTAATTCTAATTTTCCTTGGACATATTTATTCCAAACATCAAGAGCGGAGCAAGGGGCATATGAGAGACTTTTAAAGGGGAAAAAGAACCCATCTAAATGGAGCAATGGAATGAAATAGCCGGAAAAAATGCAAACCAGTAGCATCTGTGTGCATCACTTCTAAAGAAACAAGGACATTCAGCCTCTCTGACTTGGACTGTCCAGCTTCCACACTAAGGTTATTATTTCATACTGTCCACCAAATGCTATTGCTCACTGCCTTCTTCCATGATATTTCTTAGAGCTTTTTGAGATGAAATTTCCATCACCAGCAGAACACAATCTTGTCAGAAAAAGAAGCAAAAGATCTATCCCTTATTGCAAGATCAAAATCAACCACCTTAACTTCAAAGGAAAGCCCAGCTGGATAAACCTATGATATTTTTTATTATAACCTTATTTCTCACCCGAGGATGTCTCTCATGAAAGACATTCTCCCCCAGTTAAAGGCTGTATCTTGCTAGGCAATGAGTTTCCTTATATTGCATTAAAGTCTGTGGGAGTGGCAGGTCCTCAGTTACTGCCACATTTTCAACATTTTCAGTGTTTGTGTTGTATTTATTTCAGTCAATGTAGACCTTGTGTATGTTAATATTTTGTATGTAATATCCAGAAACTACTGACTTTATTTACAGAATCTACCAAAGCCAAACTAATGGTAAAAGCCAATGGATGCTATCACCCTACATTTGTTCCAGCTACTGGTCTAGAAGCAAAAGGCCCCATAATACATTACCAGTCTCATAATTCATCCAGTTCTTTGTGTCCTGGACTTCAAATAAAAACTATACTGAGAGTTTGGTACTTTGGCTAATATAGAATAATTCACAATAAAGTTAGTGAGACTGCTTTGCAACATTTCCTGGAGGTAAAAAATTAAGGGCCTTTTATTAACAACCGCTATTATGATCCAACACTTTTTGAGAGTATTAGTCCTGATATAATTCACTGAGTGCTCTGTTCTCAGCATAAATGATGGGCTTCTTTCAATTGTTTTCCAGAGTCAGGTTTATTTCCAAATATAAACCAAGGCATTTTTTAAAGACAGTGGAGTACAAGAGAAGAGAATCCTCCAGGAAAAGGAGAATTTATTCTTACAGTGCATGGCCAGTTATCCTTCCTGCTTTAGATTTTCCTATAGATTCAAAACATGAAATCATCAGTTCCTTACTCCTTCATAAGTCCTGGTATACCTCTTCAAATGTCTTCTTAAGAACTCAGTAATAGGGCAGGGCAAGGCTTGGTTTTTGAGATATCTAAAACTTTTCCTATCCCAAATTAGGGTGGCTATCTGAAAGCTTAAAAAATTATCTGAATAAAAAAATAATAGGAAAAAATAGTTCAAGTCACTCCAAACATTTAATTTAAATGATTTCAGAAAGCTTTCTTTTGATTTTGACCACTTTTTTACAACAATCAACTTAAATTCTGAAAAGAAAACACACTGACGATCTGAAGCATTTTTCAAAATTGCTCGAGTCAAAATTCAGCAATACCAACTCCCACAAAAATGTTTTTTTCTCACAAAAAAAGTTGAATTGAAAAATTCCTGAATAGCTTTAAGAGTAACTAAACAAGGATGTCAGAATTTGGGTCAAATACTTTAACCTGATACAAATAAAATATTTGAACTAATACAAATAAAAATGTAATTACACATGCATATTAAATCTAACCCATTTCTTGCATATGATAGCCTACTTCTTCCTTGTATGAGTGTAAACTACCTGTTCCTTAGAGACCCCATAGGGACACTTTCATAACCAAACAAAAAGGAAGTGATTTCCAGTGTAGCTACATTTTTCCCGGTTTGGGGGATTCATATCATCATGGGAGCTCAGAGCAAGTTAGAAATAATGAGCCTTTATCTGAGCCAGAGATGAGCTTTAATGTAGTACATTTGAGCAGCCTGGAAAGAATTAGAGTGTAATATTACCCTTTATGTGCCCAAATGGCAGTTTTCCAACTGCGTAAGGCACTTACGCAGTTTGCAACTGTAGTGCCTACACAGCATGGATGCACCAGAGCCACGCAACAACTGAGCATGTACAGGAGGCTGCATGCTGGCTGGGCAAGTGCATAGCTATGCTGGGTAGGATGGGCAGGATTAAGTCACAAAATTCTACCCAGCAAAAAGCCATGTATCTTGGTTGCTCCAGCCTAGCCCCTTGCTTTCAACAGGGCAGAAACTTCTTCACTGTTCCCCATCCCTTTTATCTGTTGAATATTAAATAAAAGGTGCAGTGGCTCAGCTTGAAAAGGAGGATTGAAGAAGGGACTCAATAATATCTCACCCGTGGCCTTGGCATTAGAGCCCTATGCTAAAATATCAGAGAGATACAGGTTCAAAGCCCCTCCAAGTGAAAGGCACCTGAAACCAAGGTCTCCTAGGGCAGTGTTTCTCAACCTTTTAAGTAGCAAGTACCCCCTAACTTCTGAACATTTTAATAAGTACCCCAACACTCAATTTTTCAGGGGATTTTATATTTACACACTAATGTGTGCCATATGTTGGAAGAAGGGCTGTGTATATAAGGCCGTGATATGACAGATGTCTGATCTGGTGTGGGTAGGGTTGCTACCTTTTACACCAGGGGTGCTCATGAAAGTACCTGGGCTAGAGGTGATGTTGGCCAAAGCTAGGAGGGCTGAACCTAGTGTCGTGCAAAGTGTGGCACGCCAAATTACTGCTGGGGAATTTAAAGTGTTGCGCAATGTGCAGTGCGCCAAATTTTTTGCCATAGTTTTGAAAGGAGGAAGTGGTAAGAGAGACAGGGA